CTCTTGTTAAATCACCCGCAAACCATGGTTCAGCCCCTCGCGCAAAATTCCAGTTTGCGAGCGCTAATTACTGCACGCAAAATTGGATCTTGATAAATCCGGCCCAGAGTGTGTTCAAGAGTTTAGAGGAGTTTCACAGTGAGGACTGCAGCTGGTTTTAGTTAATGGAATCATTACATACAGATGTTTTTCAGGATATGGACTAAAGGCTCAACTTCTCTGTGTCAAACTCATCCAGAACCAGCGTCTTAGCCTGGATAAGAGGAAAAAGGAACTAGACTCGAGGGAAACTGGGGGTATCCATCCTATTTGAAATTTATTGCGAAGGTTGTTGGTCTACTGTGCTTTATCAAGCCTAATATCCCTTCAGTCTACCTGGATGCTTTGGGGTCCATGGAGGACTCAGATCCTGCCAAAGTTAAGATTTTAAACAGGACAATGATCTTAACAGCATTAAAAAAAAGAAGAAGAAAAAAAAAGGATTTTGAAATAACTGAAGCAGATGGAAATTTTGGAACAATCCTCACCATAGCTAATCTCTGTAGGAACTTTTGGAACTACAAATGTTCTCTGGAGAATCATGGAAACAAATAACAGTGATTCCAGTTTTGTTGGGTTCCAGTTTGAATGCAGGAATGTTTGTATATTAACAATAAATTAAAGCTGAGGAGAAAAAAGATTAAATATTTCAAGATTCACCAAATGTCCTAATAAACAATAATATATATTTTAATGTCAACTTTCTGTCTGAATAAAGCTTTTTTTAATGTGAAATACAACTTATATTATTTCTAAGTATATGTTTTATTTTTACCTGAACAAAATGTTGTAAGTTTACATTTTTAGGTTTTTTACCATAACCTAGAAATGTAAGAACAACTATCCTTCCTGGCAGGTTTGTCTGAGTGATTTTATGTCAGTTTTTATTGATATGATTGCCAGAAAAAGCCTGCGGAAAGCTTGCAAAATAAAAAGCAACAAGCCAATGAGCATCATGTAATGCAATGAGCATGTGCAAACAGAAGCTGTCAAACAGACATTTGCAGCAAAGTGGCTAAAATGATTTCACCACGTTTTAGTATCAGTAAATCAGTCCGTGACACTGATGAGTGTGACCCAGTGCATCGGAGCCGCCGCACTCACTGGGTGTTTACCTGGAAAACAGAAGAATTAGGGTCACAGCACCAAGATCCCACTTTGTGTTACTGAGCTGCTACTCAGTAAAACAGGACAGGTCGGCGCCTCACCAGCAGACGCTACAAGTTTGGTTTGTGTCGTCCCAGGGGCCACTGCCAACTGATCCCCCCTGGGAGGAGGATTCCGGTTTCCACTGCTGGCTGATAAATATTCAGCGAACAGCCTGGTTTTTAGATTCCACTTCAACCTTATTAACCTCACCTTCATCTCCACCACTAGCTTGTTAAATTAACCTCCTCCCTTTTTGCTAATTTTAGCTGAACACGCTACATTGGAAGCAGATCATGGTTGTTAAAGGAAAAGTTTGGTCATATTCAGAATACAAACTTCTAAAAGTACTTTAAATATGAAATTATTACATATTTTCAATAAATGATAAAGTGTTTTTAATTAAGAGTAATTTTCATCTGAATGTGCTTTACTGGAGGCATCCATGTTTGTCAAAGAACACTACTGCCACCTACTGGTTTGTGACGTCACGGTGCGGTATCGGTTGTTGATCAAGTCCCAGTGCTGTATCTGGTGTTTGTGTTATAGTCCTGGCACTGGTGGCTGGATTGATTGCTCATTCCATCCACCTGTTTAACTCTGCCCATTTTCTCATTATTGCTTATCTGATCCACCTGATTCCAGCTCCTATACATGCTGTTTGTTTTCAAGCTACCAGTGCCAGATTATTCGAGCTGTTTAGTGAGAGTAATTCTAACGTTTTGATAATAGTTCTCATATCTTGATTGTGACCTGTTTCTGTCTTGTGGATCCCGAGTTTTGCTTTGCCCCTGTCTGCTCTATTAGGCTACGTTCACACAGCAGCCTGAAGTGACCCAAATCCGATTTTTTTGCCCATTGGTGACCTAAATCTGATGTTTTCATGGCAGTCTGAACAACACAGATCCCATTTTTTCCAATCCGATTCAGGTCACTTGGCTATGTGGTCCTGAATCGGATACGAATCTGATCTTTTCAAATGCGACCTGTGTCTGAACAGCCAGGTCGGATTCATCCGACCCGAACGTCATTAATACCCGACAACAATCACTATTCTGCGTCTTGCTACGCAGAAGCTGCAAGAAAAACAACAACCATGGCAGATGATGATGCGGAGAGCAGTATTGATGTTTAACCATATTGAAAATATTGTGTTTTTATGGTTGGATAAGACCGCTAGATCTGCGCCAGCACTACCATCCACGTTTATTTCTGGAAAATAAGAGCACGCTGGCCTGTGACGTCATTGCGTCCTCTACTGCGCATGCGGGACACTTGCGTTGTATGACTGCAGTTTACACAGCAGATCACATACAAGTCGCATATATTTGGAAATATGAATGGCAACGTAAAAAAAATCGGATTTCGCAAAAAAAATCGTAATTGAGCATCAAGGTCTGCTATGTGAACGTAGCCTTAGTCTTATCTGTTCTGGACTGTTTTCTGGATTCAACTGGCTTACCGCACCTGGACTGTTTTCCAAACCACAGCTTGGATTACCTCATCGGTGCCTCATCGGCTCTCTGATCGTCTGGTTTATGAACTGAACTGAACGACTTCGGCTCAGATATTCTCTTCTG